AAACTAGGATGTGATGTGTAAGATGTTTTTTTGTTTTGTAAAGAAACTAGGATATGATGTGTAAGATGTTTTTTTGTTTTGTAAAGAAACTAGGATATGATGTGTAAGATGTTTTTTTGTTTTGTAAGAAACTAGGATATGATGTGTAAGATGTTTTTTGTTTTGCAAAAGAAACTAGGATATGACATGTAAGATGTTTTCTATTTTTAGGAAGCAGAGGATCTGATGGATTTAGTACAATTACTTGGAGAATCCACCAACAAGATACTGATACTTGCTGAAGAAGTAAGTGTTAATTTATCAGCATTGTTCATTTTGTCAGTTGTTTTGTACTCTTTGAAAATGAACTACAGACTCGGGTCTCAGATGTAATTTGGTGTTGTCAGAAAATAGAAAGCTGTTTGAGTATTCAAATTTTAAAGAGAATTAAATAAAAAAGTATAATGTAATATAAAAGTTTTATGAAAAATTATATATAATGTTTCTTTAATTTTAAAAGTTACGACTTATATGCTGAAAGCTGGTTAGTCATTGAAAGCCAGTGGTCTTGGTTTTTGTGCTAAAAATCACATAAACTGTAGAATTGTTTTTTCATATTCCAGCCCAACTGATAAGTTCTGGTACTTGAAAATGGTACTGAAATGTTAATTTTACACACCTCTTATTTGGAATACAAAATGGACAAATTTGGAAGAATGTGAGAAAAAAAAATTACTGTTTATGCTATTTTTATCATATAAGCTAAGCCTTTAATTTTATCCGAGAAAGTTTAACAAATATTTTAAATGATATGATGTGGCACAAAAGTGAAAAGAAAGTATTAAGAAAAATGTGTAAGCATTCCAAAAAGTAATAGTTTTCAAGAAAATTTGTGTGTTAAATTGTTATTCTTGACAAAAGAATAAATGAGTCAAGTTTGGGATGTTCAGTATTTCTTAGTTTGATTGTGAATGTGTTTCAGTGAATTTTATTCATTTCAAATAATAATAGGAAGTTATTCTAACTATATTGTTATTATATGGTAATCACATCTATTCTCCACTGATATTAGTTGTAGCTAAACTTGTAAGATTTTTTTATTTTTGCATTTAGTATGATGGTTTTCAAAATGTTATAGGCAGAAAACCGATGTCAGCTTTTAACACGTGGCTGTTCTTATCCTGACTTAATCGAAGCATTAAAGGTAAGAGTGATTAAAAAAGACATAACATTATTGTTCTTATCCTGACTTAATCCTAGCGCAAAATGTAAGAGATAGATAGGTTGAATTATACATAACATAGTTGTTCTTAGCCTGATTTAATGGAAATTGATGGTAAAAGAAAGGGGTTGAACAATGCATAATGTATTTGTGCATATGCTGACTTGATCCAACCACTGAAGGTAGGAAAGAGAGAGAGAAAGTCTGGTTTGTAACCTTGTCAGTCTTTGCTTGTACCAAATATATAGTTGTAACGTGGCTGTTCTTAATTCATTGATTTAGAATAAGATTATTCCATATGACTGGGTGTATCCTCGTGTGGTGGAATGTTTATGTGACTGTATATAAAGATTTTTGTAAATAACAGTGTATAAATGTATATTTATGCATATGACTATTCATTTCATGATATTTTCTTTTCTTTGTATACGTTTTTTTATTTCATTACAGTTTTAGAGGAAAAAAGTTTTCCTGCAGATAATACCTTTTTTTTTTGGCCATAAAAATTCAAGTATCATGCCTGTATATGGTAGTGTGCCTACTTACGGTACACATGCTGAGGTAGAAATATCAAGTCTTGGTGTAATTTCTGGAGTTTTTTTTGATTTTTTGTTTTCAGGATTTCTTTGCTGGCTATACAAACAAAGTGAGTAAGATGTTAGAACAATTGAAACTGGCTAACACTCAACGAGACAGAAGCAAGTACCTAACAGACTCGTGGATGTTGTTTCAGCACACGTTACATTCTTTACAGTTTATAGGTAATGGAGTAAATCACATTTGTTTTGTTTTTTTACATGTCATTAGTATTTATATTGTTAGCTCATAGATGTACATTTTCATGAGCAGTGCAAGTTGAACTGTAAGATATATTTATTGACCTTCAAACATAATATCTATATTTAAAATATTTCTCTTAAGGAACAAACATGGTAGTGTTAACTGGTTTTTTCCTTTATATTCGAACTAAGATCCCAATTGTATAGTCTTATCAGTCAAGTTTTTTAAAAGGATATATCGTAGTTCATTTTTGCTTTTTTAATTAAAAAAACAATGTTTTTATTATTCCATTATCTTTGTTTCCCAATAATTTAGTCCTGTGAAAAGTGGTAGTTGCATGTTTTAACTCTCCTTAACCCTTTCCCTACCCATACTGAGGCACACTTGGGGTCCAATAGACCCCACCTTGAAATAAGATGTTACAATTTCCTTTTATTCTGTTAGACAACAACCAGGTAATAATACATACTTCAAAAAAGAACATTTAAAAATTGTATTGATAATTCTTGTTACGTACAGTTGGAGCATTTATTTATGGTGTGCTTGCTACAAACTATTTTCCTTAACACAGAGAGCACAAATTTTTTATCTTATGGTCCGTGGATCTGGGACAAAGTTTATAATGATGTTTCTTGAGAGGTGGAGCAGAATTGGGAGAATCTACACAGTCAACTTCTGTATCACTGTTTTCACACAGATTGGTTTTGACAGACTGATGGAAGTCTTTCACCAAAAGCTGACATCCTCACTTTTTGAACTTCTCCTTCACAAGCTCTATTCCCAATTAAGAAAAAAGTACTCTTCAGCTGTGTTCTTTTTTTTACTCTCATTTCAACTTGGATTGGCCCCCTCTTATCACACAGATGACCCAGCACTGGCATATGGCTGTTTTCTACAGTATGTTGGATATTTCTGTCATTGATGCTTTCATCATATGGTTATCTATCAATCCAAATTGTTTTTGTTTTTTTTTAATTAAGCACAAAGCTACACAAGGGCTATCTGTGCTCTGCCCACCACGGGTATGGAAACCTGGTTTCTAGTGTTGTAAGTCCGCAGACATGCCACTGTAAATGCAAACAAGTTTATTCAAAGTATGTACTCCACCTTTCATTTTGTTATAATTCGTAATGATGTCTGTCTGTTGTATGTTCAGCAGTAGACACCACCTTGTTCTTATGCATCGTCCTGGTTCAAACCATAATATATTTTGTGCTTGAAATCTTCTGTTCAGCTGAACAGGATCTTTGTCCCATAATTCAGTACCTGTTTGAGCTTGGAAGTGATTTGGATCTTGAGATGTTTGTGGGGAATTTGTTCTTATTCATTTTGGCGGTCTTCGTCTTCTTGAAAACTGGCATCTTCCTTTTCCAATTCATATATTAGTTTCATTTTCTTGAGATGAGGAACTTTGACTGGAATATAGTGTATCACTCTCACTACCCAAAGTTTTATCTATAATTTCCTCACCAACTGCTTCTGAGGGGGAAGATTCACTTCCACTAGCCAAGTTCACGTACTACCTCTTCTAATTTCTTCAGTATTCCACTCTGAATAAGTTGTTTTCTAGCTGTATTTCCACTGAGAATGACAGTATTATTCTACTTACTACTTGGAAGCTATTTGCATTGCTCGAGTGAGAGAAAGCTTAACAGAATTGGAAAATGTTTTATATTTATATCTTGGGGTCTGTTGGTAACTTGACTATAATATATTTACTACTGATTTTTTCCTTCAAATTTGATAAAAATAATATATATCCTAACACAACAAATGTCAAAAAGTTTTAATGTATAAACAAAATATGTAGTGGTTTTATGGTCATTGTGAACCTCCTTTGGTGGTTCAGTATACCCCCCAAGTGCCTCAAGTTAAGCAACGTGTGTGTGTGTGTGTGAATACATGAAATCTATGTGGATATTTTCAGCATACTTTTGGATATTAGTTTTTACGTAGCGGAAACAAAAACAGAGAAGTTGAGAGGGTATTAGTGTTGCATAAAAAGTGTTCAATCTTGTATACAAAAAGGGTTTTAATTCAAAAATGAATTGTCTTGAATGAAGGTTAAATCTTATGATTGGCTTTTTCACTTTGACTGAAAAAATTTCTGATAGTACAAGTTGTTTACAGCATAACCAGTTTTGTCAAGCCATGGAATCAGTCTGTTAATATGTGGACTCCTACACAAATACTGTTTTCATTTTTAACTGAAAACAATGTTGAATACAATTTCCACCTAAAATATTTCACTGATAAGAAGAAAGGCTACAGTTTCATCAGCCTAGCTCAACTGTAAATTTAACAACAAAAAATCCCAAATATAGAATTCATTTAAGAAATATTGTGAGCCTCCAATTTTATTATTAATTAAAAAAAACATTGGCAAGCTTCTAGACGCTTTTCTTTGTAATATTAGAATTTTTAATTAAATATTCATGCCAGAACATTGCATAGCTCACAAGGAATATCTCCTACTTATTTGAAAAATGTATATATACTTATGTTAGATAGTTTATTAATTCTTTAAGATAACACTGTGATTTATAGAAAGCCTCTATCAATTTCAGGTGAATTCTTCTTGCAGCTTGAAACTTTTGAGCAGGCGTTATTCAGCCATGTAAGAGAAACCATTAAAAAGTTAGGGTATTCATTGACATTGCAAGAAGAGGAAGAAGAAAGGTAAAAACATTGCTATTTTATACTTTTCTGTGCACCTTTTAATTCTGTCTAAAGTCTTGAGTACTCACTTGTTATGTCTGAATCTTTCTTAATCTTGTCTCAACTTTCAGAGAATGTAGTTTTTCAGATACTTGTTGAAAGTTTTGAAAATTCATTAAGAATTTTTATGAACAATGACATTGCCAGGAGAGAAAGAAGAACTTGAATTTGAATACAAAAGTTTCAAGTTTTGTAGAGAAACATTTCAGAAGAGAAGCTAAATATGCATGCACGTTTCGAACTGTGTAGGTATAAGGTAAAAAAATGCTCTAATAGCTGAAGTACCGTGCCATGGTTCTGACGCAAGCAAGAAGAATATTCCCCTATTTGGTAGCTTCAGTATTTTATGTATTGGTCTCTCCTTTCAGAAAATGTTCGAATCCTTTTCATTCCTATGTGGATTTGTTTCTAACATCACCAATGAAGAATGAGTTGCAAGAACTTGTGACAACCATACAATCACGTAAGGCTTTTCGTGAAACTGTTTTATAAATTCATGAATATCTGATTTGTAAATAAAGCATGGACTTCTTCTGAGCTAACTGATTAAGTACTGAAACTAGTTGGTACCTCTTCTTAAGGTAGATAGTTTATTAACTTTTTAAAATAACGCTATGATATATATAGAAAGACTATCACTTTCAGGTGAATTCTTTGAGCAGGCATTATTCAGCCATGTAAGAGAAACCATTAAAAAGTTAGGGTATTCACTGCAAGAAGAGTAAGATGGGCATATTGGGTTTTTATGTATGTCTTTGTTATCACAAATATGCACAATCCTCTAGAGATAAAGGGTGATTAGTTCTATGCTTAATGTCTCTTTCACGTCATTGATCATGAAGCGGGTAAGCATTTTGTACAAACAAATATTTAAGAAGTAACCATCTGATCTAAAACAGACTAGCTTAATGGTGTGCCAGTTCTTGTGAGATTAATTAGAGTAAAATAAATAATATTAATAATAAATAATTTGGCATTAGATAAATAATTTGATGTTAATGAAAATCATAAACCTTATTATGACTTGTAATGCCTTAAATAAAATATATAAAAATTACAGTTCATGAACTTAATCTGGTATGTAGTGAAATAATTGTTGTTTAAGTAATTGACAATGTAAATAGCATTTCGACGACAACTGTATCTGTTGTATCCCAGCTGGCCTAATGAGCCACAGTAGTGGGCAAAAGGCTTTAATTGTACTGGATATAGCAGATTTAGTGTGGTTGACATATTATTACATTCTTTTTATTTTCACTCAAAAGTTTCTATACAGTAACTGTCCCACTTATGTCATACCCATTTACATTAATCCGATGTAAAGCATTAAGAAATTGGGGAACGATATCCGGAGTAAGTTGGTTAAATCCGGTTTAACATTGTTTTTGGTGGCTTATACTGAAAACGAAAAATTTAAACCAAGTGCCTAGCCCTATGCTGCATCATAACAACAAGTAGGTGTACAATGCAGGTATTTTTCTGCTCCTAGGAGTCGGGTCAAAGCCAGCCTACCTGTGCTTCCCTTGGCCTCAGTTGCACATTGTCTGTCCTTTTGGCCAGTATTGAGTGATATTCCCTGTGATTATTTTTTGCACAAAACTTTCCAAAAATTCTTAATCATGATTTATTTATTTTCTGTGTCTTTATGTTGGGTTAAATTAAGTCTGGGTGTCCTAAAATTAGTTTCCAGGAATGTATCCTACCTTCATAACAGTAAGTCAATGGGAAAATAGTGGCCGATTTACATCAATCTGCCTCACTCTGTGTTTTATAGGAATGCATCCTCCCTTCATAACAGTAAGTCAATGGGAAAATAGTTGCCGATTTACATCAATCTGCCTCACTCTGTGTTTTATAGGAATGCATCCTCCCTTCATAACAGTAAGTCAATGGGAAAATAGTGGCCGATTTACATCAATCTGCCTCACTCTGTGTTTTATAGGAATGCATCCTCCCTTCATAACAGTAAGTCAATGGGAAAATAGTGGCCGATTTACATCAATCTGCCTCACTCTGTGTTTTATAGGAATGCATCCTCCCTTCATAACAGTAAGTCAATGG